TTGCCGCCATGTGATTGGCTGCTTAGAAATGAAGTGTTAACGAGCAGTTGGACAGGTGTACCTAATAAAGTGGCCGGTGAGTGTATAGCAAAGATTCCTTATTCCCTGCTGTGAGATGGTTTCTCCTTATTTAGGAACTCCTGGTTTGCATCCATGAACAGCTTCCTTCCTTCCTTAATTAATGAGTGATTCCAAGTTTTTTTTTTTTTTTTTGTCTCTATCCCTGAGCACATTCTATACTCTCTACAGATAATTGATAATGAACATCATTTTAATTCCAAGTTCAGAACAGATATCTGAACGTATTGTTTTTTTCCTGCACAGGTTCTCCACTTTAAACAGAAGATCATTCAGATTCAGTCTCTGGACTATAAAACTCCCTGAAACCAAAGAAAACATGTATCTGACTGACTGCTTATATCATTAGTGCATTAGTGTAAAAAATGTGTCTATGGACAGCTAGAGATCAGGGCCTTAGTAGATGAATAGCGATTCATAGACTATAGAATGAAAAAAATCAACTACAACTAGCATCACTAAAAGTACTGTGTGGGTGTGATGATGGAAAGTAACGACCCGTGCATTCCTAATTTAGTCTTATAGCATGATTATTTCAGAGTGGCATCTTCTCTCTGAGTAGATGATGGAACTCAGTGGAACATGAGGAACAGATGGAGCGATGAAGACTCTCAGCCTCCCTGTGAACTGCGTTGTTACATAACTGTGAGGCGACGCAGCACTGCAGTGTTCAGGAACCCCCCCTCCTCCCCCCCACACCCCCACCGCCATCCTTCATGAATATTTTACCATCGCCGCAGCTCTTCCTGCGACTCCTGCATCCACATTCACACCTCCGCTCTGATCGTTTCTCAGCGCCGTCGCTCGTCATCTTTCATCTCTTTAGTCAGTGTTTGTCTCCGAGTGGGTGGAAGCCAGAAAGAAGTCGACTGCTCGGCTCTAATTGGCACCCCGAAGGAGAAACTCTGCGGCGCAGAGTCAGATTGTCCTCATGTAGGCAGGAATGAGGAGGAAGAGCCCTGTAATCAGAGACGTCAGAGTGAAACGTGGCTTTTAGAGACTGTAATCAGGGAGAAATCACACCTCAGTGCCACATAAACTGAAACCAGGAGGGATGGCTGTTTTTAAGGAGAGTTTGTGACCAGAATCAGATACTTAAAGATCTTTATAGGTTTAAAATTGTTAGGAAGACTCACAGTCAGACTCATTAAACAGTCTGTTAGGGAACAGCTGGTTGGATTTCTGGTGTTTAAATACAGAAACTAATTGTTCCTCACATTATGTAAAGATTTACTAATCTAAACTTGTCAATATCAAACTGTTAATGTGATTGATCGATGTTAAACTCCATGCTGTAAAGCTGCACCTGTTCCTGTCTGAGGGCTAATAAATAACTTCCTTTATTGGATCTGATAATACAAAGCAAACACACAGTGAGGTCTCTGTAAGCCCAGACATGTTTTTCAGTGTTGTTGCACCGGATGACGCTGCAGAGGTCCGAACCTGTGGCTTCTTTTTCTGCTCCTAATGATGTTCGACCTGCTCCCAGTTTAGCATCTCTCCATGCTGTTTTGCACTTTGTTTTAGTCTCTGTGTGCAGAGCTGTAAAAGCTCCCCTCCTGTTGTGCTTTAAAGAAATGTGCACTCTGATGTTTGCATGGCAAACAAATGAGCTGCAGCAGCTCTCAGGTTCAACCATCCCCCTTATCTGTGGGATGAAGCAGAAACATCACATGTTCCTGAGCAGGAATTACGTTTTATCTGACTGTCTGGTTTTAATAAATAACAACACACCCTGCTGTTGGACTGCGGCTCAGGTCACCTGTTGAACCTGTTAAAAGCTGCATTTCTTCTGCAAGCCTAAGTGGATCATTTCAGAATAAAAGTCATTTCTAATGTAGTTTCAACACACGATCTTTGAGGCTGGAAGTCGAAAGTATGACTTCATTATTTTACAAATAAAAATAATTTCCGGTAAAAAACCCTGAGGATCCCCCCTAGAAATTAAATCTTTATAAAATGAGAAATTACTCAACTTAATAAAAAGTAAATTTTCTTTTTAAACGGGGCAAACTGTGTCGTGGCAAGGCAAGGCAGGGCAGCTTTATTTGTATAGCACATTTCAGCAACAGGGCAATTCAATGTGCTTTACATAAAATCAGTAAAAAAAAAAAAAATAAAACACAGAAGAAACAGTTAAAAATAAAACACAAGAATAAAAATTACAGTGCGGTATAAGAGTGGTGTTCTATACCTATTTTACAACCTGCGTTGTCTGGAAGGAAAATATGCTTATTTTCCATAAATGTGGGGCAAAAACTGGAGTTGAATTCAGGCTAGATTAGCAGACTTTGAGCTAAAATATCTTATCTCCATATACAGGCTTATCTTTGAATGTTTCCACTGTTAGGAACTGTTGGAAAATGGTACAAAAATAGCTTTTTGGTTCCTCTGCTGTGAATGTGTTTTTTTAGAATGTTTTGGTTTCTGCAGGTCCTCCGGCATTATCCCAGTGTCTTTCCTGCAGCTCAAACAGATCACCAACTCAGACAGCTGGAAGCAGTGAACGTCTCATCACTGAACCTGTTCCTTGTTTCATTTGTCACTTTAGTCAGCCGCCCTCCGGCTCTGTCCTCGCTCCTCCATCACCTACCTTCCTGCTCTCTGCAGATTTGTCTCAGAACAGTACAGAAGATAATCTATTGCTCAGGATGTTTTTAACATCATCACTGCAGCTACAGCTCTCATTAGCTGTTGTGTGCGGGGGTTGAGTCATTGAGTCATATAAAAATGAACAGCTGACTGTGCTGCCATGGTAATGCGTCACAGCTCCTCCTATTACTTCCTGCTCTGTGCAGCATCAGGTTCCTCACCCTGACAGAGATTAAAAGGAAACATCCTGCAGCTCCCAGGATCCATAAACACTCATTTTACATCAAATCTCTAACTTAAACTCTGATTTTTCAGTTTCTCCTGAAGGGACTCTGTGGTTTTTCAAACTGGCCTGTTGCACTGATTCATCTTCAAAGAGATAAAAACGATGTCAGCTCTACTGAAATCCTACTAAGATGATAAGACGTACAGTGCTACTCTAAAGTAGATGGTAACATTCACTGTATAAAGTTACATTTTTTCTGTCTTTAAGTTTGACACAAAGTTCTCCTTTTTAAGTCAACTAGGATTACAAAACTTAGTTTTGTTTTTTTAGTGCCAGAATGATAAGATTACATTATTACATTTCTGGAAAGTTAGATGTTTAAATATTATGAAAATTTGCTAAAAATCTAACTTAAAAAAAGTCATATAGTAAGGCAAGGCAAGGCAAGGACAATTCATGAATTAGACATGAATTAGATGATAACATAGAAGAAAAATAAAAGCAGAATAAAAGTTAAAGCAAAGCAATTGGACCACAAAAAAGCAGAAAAAAAGAGTGTAAAAAAAACTTTGAAAAAAATTTGAACTGTAGATCGTTAGTCAAAGCTTTCTCAAAGCTTGCTGGAACTTTGGTACTTTCCTTTTGACAGAACTGGCAGAAATGAATCTGGCTTGTTGCCCATTTTGTTAATAAACAGTCCACATGTTCTCTATATAGTGGAATCAGGTCGTTGAGATGACTAATCCAAAACATTGAATAGAGTCTTTGTCCATTCAGACTCGTTTCTGTCCAAGTTTTGCTTCTTGGCTGATGTCTTTAGATGTTGCTTCAATGTTTCCCCATATTCGTCATTCCTCATGTTGCCATATATTTTGTGAAGTGCAGCCAGCAGAGAAACACTCACATCATTATGCTGCCTCCCCCATACGTAACGGTTGGGGTGTTGTTCTCCGTCACTGGCTTCCATCTTTTCCCCCAAATGTTGTAATCTCCATAATGACCAAACATTTCAGTTTTACCCTCCCAAACTTTTTTGCTTCTTTGTGCATTTGGAAACTATGATCTGTCATCTGCCGTAATCTGGCATCTAACTAAATGTCCTTTAGGCTAAAAAAAAAAAAAAAAAGTGTTGCATGTGTTTTAGATATTATATGTCTTTAGTGCTGATGTAAAATTTCCTCTCAGGGTTAACAGTTGGCAGTATTAAATGTGACAACCCACTGATGTGAAAATGCATTAATGCTTTTAGACCTTCAGCTGTTAAAAGCGTAGAAACCTTCAACTACTCTTGAAACATGAAATTAATATCCTCTTAAATGCTTCTCCTTTTAATGTGAATGTGACTTATTTATTGTCTGATTAATATATCTCAGAATTTTCTGCTGTTATTAATCAATGATGATTTTTTTCTCTCTGTTAGGATTAAAAATAAATGTTGCATCAGATCAGATTAAAGTTGAAGTGACATCAAAGAAAGCTAGATTTTATATCTGAAATAAAAACTATTTTCCAAAGATGTTTAGAGATGTTTATTGTGAATCCGTCAGATCGGTTTTATCTCCTAGGCATTTATTTGTGTGTGAGTTTGTAACAGGAACTTATAAATAGAAATCCACCAATATGTGCCTAACAGTGTTATATAAAGATAAACCCATCAGTGGAAACATCCTGTCTCCCAGTGATGCAGAGAAATTATTCAGTGCATGTTTTTCTAACAAAAAAAAAAAAATCTGCATAATGGAAATCTTTCCAGAAGTGACTGATTTATTATACTTCTTTTTAATGTTGAGATGTCTTTATTCCTTCAGCGGCATCTTATCCGCTTCCTGTTTGTGTTTCAGTGGAAAGGGAAGTGGTGCAGAAGAGGACCTTCACACGATGGATGAATCTGCACTTAGAGAAGGTCTGTTCAATTTCCTCTCTTTCCGCCTCAGAAGGAAGATTGAATTATTTCAAACTGTCCTAAAACTTGGTCTGAGAGCAGCAGCAGTAACAGCACCCCCACTCTGTGGAAGTGGGGACCCTCCGGCAGTCAGTATGGGAACCCGATCCTCCTCGAACTGCTGAAAGTCATCCTTTAATGCTGTGTCATCTGAAACTAGAGGCCTGCAGCCCATTTGTGTGTTATGGTCTGATAATTGAGAATGTGAATATGCAAACATGCAAATTGAGGTCAGAAGCGGTTTAGAAGCTACAGCACGAACGGCACCAACAGGACAGGAGAAGATTTTTACCTGCACAGGTCGGACGATCACAAAGCTTTTTGTTAATAAGTCCCAGAGAGGACAGCAGCCGGAAGGCAGAGGTGTTTCTATCTCACCCCTTCAGAGTTTCCACTTCTCAACCAGACCGAGAACTGAAATAAACAGAATACAGGTCAGATAGGGCCTTAGCATCAGGGTAAATAGTTTGTTACATTAGATTCAAAATTTTTTTTGCAAATAACTAACTCCAAGCTAACAGCTAAGTTACTAAGGAAAACATCCGTAAAACATTTCCATGTTTTCTTATCAACAGTATCTAAGGTTTTGTTTACACACAGAGCAACATGCGGACATTAACCAGATTAAATCTATTCCTGACGTCATTTAATGATGACAGACTTTATTAACTTGGGTAATGTCACATAATCATAATCAGTAATCTAATTATAGTAATAGATACAGATGCTAATATAATGTTGGCTCGATTAAACCTCCATTTTTCTGGAAACTTTTACTGCTAACACGGAATCAAATAGAGTCACAATAGAAGGTTGTATCTGACCCAGAGCTGAGAAATGATGCCTGGATGGAGGCAGATGGGAGCAGAGAGAGGGAATGTGGGCAGAGTTGTTCCTTAAATACGACAACATTGTCAGAATCCCTGGCTAAAGTGTTACTTCTGACAGACACTATCAATATAACCATGAGTTTTTGCTTTAATGAACTTATCTTAGAATTTCCCTAGCTGCTAGCTGCAGCTGTTACATTGAATCAGCATCTGCTGGTTCCTACTGTTAAAATGATAAGAATTGAACTTTATTGATCTCACATTAGAGAAATGTACCTCTGCATTTTAACCTACCCCCTTTGCATAACTTCTTCTTTGCTGTCGCCACATAGTTGTTCAGTTTTAAGAACTGCTGCAAAGTTAGACTCAGTGCAATTGTCAGAGTTTCCTTTGACTGTTTTATGATAATCGAAAGGCTCTGAGGAGCTCGGTCATTAGGAAGAGGCTGAGAGTAGAGCTGTTTCTCCTCCACGTAAAGAGGAGTTAGGTAAGGTGGCCCGAACATCTTTGGACGCCTTGTTCCAGGCATGTCCCATTGGGAGGAGGATCAGGGGTCGACGCAGGACTCGCTGGCTGGATGAACAGTGTCTCTCAGCTGGCCTGGAAGGACCTCGGGCCTCCCTTACCTCAGAGGTGTCTGAGGTGAGGGAAGTCTGGGAGTTTCTGCTGAGACTGCTGTTCCCGCCACCTGATAAAGCAAAAAATGATGACGGATGCAAGTATTTGGAATGTCCGTATAATTAGTCTGATCATTAGTTTGATTATATATTTTTTAATTCAAAACCAAAAATACTTTATTAATCCCAAAAGGGAAATTAAATAAAATCATTTTTTAATGAAAATTATTATATAATTTTGACCTGATGGTCTTGTAAATTATTCTTAGGTGACATTGGTTAAATGAATCAATTAGAAATTTAATCAGAACTTAAGAGCAGTCTTGAGGATTTTCTATGCAGCTCGGCTCACAGCCTTCATTACATTTTAAATTCTTTCCTTTCTTCCTTTTTTTATTAAGTTGTCCATTTAACTTGGATCACAGCGTCACAGAGCTGTGGAGCTTTAAACAGATTTTAA